TCAGCATCTACTTTGACAAACTGAACATCGATGATCATAAGAAATTAGGAGCTACAAGTAAAGATGGCTGGACGTATACCTAAATGGCTACCAAAGCAAATGGATTCCAATGGTCAAACAAGATAACAGGATAGACAAATATCTTCCTTCATTGGAAAATATTTTGTTGAGACGGGTTACAGGTTTAAAAGAAAGTCAACCTTTATAGCGTTGTATAAAATGGCTCAAGGGCGTATACTAAAAATTATTAAAGTCTTGAGTATACGAAGACTGAAACCCCGCTAATTTGCTCAAAACCGATTTATTCCTACCCTTGACCTACCCTGGTAATACTGGTTAATTATCCAGCATGAATTTCACATTATATACTTTATATACCATTACGTTTTAGTTTGTCTAGTTGACCTTTTATTTTTCAAATATAATTTCTTAATAAGTCTATGTATGATCAGACTGTTCAACATGCATCGCGCAAATATACCACATTATTCTGATAACCATCGTCTTCCCATAGAATTATCCATATATATAAGTTAAAGCGCCATGATCAGGAACTAGCTTTATTTCTGAACGTCTAAATGGGATTTTCTGTTTTACGGAAAAATTTGTTGATAGACTACCGCTATAAATACGGTCGGGCAATTTTTGACAAACGGCATTTTTGAAAATCTTTTCGTTAGGGTATCTTTGCCGCTTCCCGAAATTCTGTTAGAAAGACGTGCATGCGTTTGCTCGTCTATGTATGCATATGTATGTATGCATGTTTGTATGTATATGTGTATCTATACGTTAGTGTAGAACAAAAATAGTGGATACGACGCTACTGAAAATTCACTAAAGGCACGGTTTAAAAAAGATAATGGGTCAATATTGATAAATATATTATCAAACTTTCCAATTGATACCAAAAGCACTTGAAATAATATAACATTCGACGACAAACTTTGTTATGTAGCGTAAACTAAGACACACGTGCACACTTGTGAAGCTAAAAACAACGGATATCGTTATATTAGAGTTTTCATTGTTATATAGCCTCTTTTATTCTGTAGGACGTGAATACCACGTGATCAGCGGTTAACTGATTACAGATCCAATAGTTATCGATAGTCGATATTGATGAAGTGAGTTATAACTATTCAAATCCACCAAATGGTTAAACTAGAAAGCATATTTCCTTACTCTTCTAAAGCAATTATTTTAAAATAAATGGGGATTAGAATATATCACAAGTCATTTAAAAGTAGGAAAAGTGGTCGGTTGTAAGATTTACAGGTCCTGTTTGCAGTAAGCAAATCAGAATGACAAAACAATTATTTGATTTTTCTATTTATTCTGTAAAAAGTCAAAGAAAACAAGAAAGTTGGGACAAATCTATGCCAGTTCAAGTTCCCACATTTTAAAAAAAGTACAGCGAGAGCAAAAAGTAACAAGATGAGAAGCGTGGAAAGGGAAGAACATTGAATCCAATGGAAAGTTAAGCTTAATAAATATTCCCCACAAAGAAATGAAAAGTAAGGAACAACACCGAACTCAATAGACAAAGTAAAATATAGAATGAGGACAACTTCACCACTGAGTACGATGCAGAAACATGACATTTGATGTCTTCAGCAATACAGTGATAATCTCAAGAATCCCAATTCATAAGTCTACATTAACCAATTAGCCTGAAACCAAACAATGGTTTCTTTCATTCATACACTCTTTATGTTCTCCCAAATTCTAATCTCCTGAATTCTTTATGTCCCTTTTTTCATCTTCCCAAATTTATTTCACTGGATTATACTCTTCAAATAACATCTCCAAACCCTAATCTTCCCAATTACTGCTTATACTCTTACTACCTCTACCACAACGGGATTTGAATCGACAACTGAATCTTTGTGCTAATGTGGTATGGCAACTCGAACTGAAGTACGTACGTACGAAGTTCTACGTTGTTACTGACTGACTGACGTCTTGATTTGACTACTCCCAACTTTTTCTAAACCTACTTATATGTCAGCTAGCATTTCGTGTCCAGGTACGTAACGGCTATTTGTAGGTACTATCTATAGATGTATAAAAGAACGGAACAATGCAAATAGTTGCGTTGTTATCACAGATTTGATAGTTTCCTCATAAATTGGCAGATCATAGGTTAAATAATTTCTTGACTTTAAAGATTTTTATGAGGATACTGTTAAGCCTCATATCCTGAAGTTAATTTATCCATCTTACGATATTTTGATAATTATAGTAATGTAGCAATAGAACTCAGTAACAAAACAAAATTAATGTGATTAAATCTATTATATGACGGATAGTGATACTTTTTGACTGGTTCTGTATGGGTAAATGGAATTTTAAACCCATCATTTACAATATTAAAATCCAGAGTCTTAACCAACAAGTCCCAGCCCCATTACTATTATTTTATTATTTGAACACATAGATATTGGTACAAGGACTCTTCGAATACATATGCGCCAAACAAATCTCATTAGATTTGTGTGAGGGCTGTGATACTGCCCGGGTACCAAAACCGAAGCAGGTGGTTTTTTTTAAGGAGCCACACCCGGAGCCTTCGACCTAAAGATCTGATCCACAAGGCAGTGGAGCAACGTCAGGAGATGCAGTCCCCTGGGAGCCGGTGACCAACGATTGGTTTATACGCCATTTGTTCCCTCAGGATACTGGAGCTCATGTCACCATTTGTTTGGAATCAGGGTTTTCCAACTCCCCTAGGTGGATTTTCCGTGTCCCCCAACCCAGTTAAAGCGCCGGACATTCGCGTTTTGTCCTCTCAATTTCGTAAACAACACCCCCGCCACGAGAAGACAGTGAGTAGGCCCCAACAGTTAACAATAATTTCTACACAACCGGCTTAATAATATATAATAACTTTTAAGTTAGGCAGTTATTAGGTATCACTAGTGAAAATAAGTAACTCAAAGGAACAAGTTGATACTACAACCTCGAGATTTAGATGGTGGTTGGAGGTAGTCAACAGGAAACCCTGGACCCGGGTTTCGTGCTAATTGGCACTCGTCAGCAGGGTGTACCTGTAATCTTGAGGGAACTGGTGCTCCTTGGCGGATTCGATCTCGTGTCACCCAGCTTCACAGTCAGAGACGTTACCACTGAGCTATCCGAGCCGTGACTAACCTCCTGTAGGACTGAGATGTAGTCACAATTGATTGATCACTGGGTGGTGATCAATCCCATGCTTGTCTAGCCCTTATTAGTGCAGATCGAATGCTATCGATCATGTTGCACGAGATCGAATCCGCCAGGGAGCACCAGTTCCCTCAAGATTACAGGTACACCTTGCTGACGAGTGCCAATTAGCACGAAACCCGGGTCCAGGGTTTCCTGTTGACTACCTCCAACCACCATCTAAATCTCAATACATAGTGCCCACAGTGTCGAGTCACCTAGACTGGTGGCCACATTGCAACATGATCGATAGCATTCGATCTGCACTAATAAGGACTAGACAAGTATGACATTGATCACCACCCAGTGATCAATCAATTGTGATACTACAACCTTACCATAATCATGAAGCTCCGTAGCATGTGACTAGTTCTTAAAACTGTATTTGAAGATTATGAAGATTTATAGCTCATGTGGACGACTTTGATGGTGTTTCTCTCTCCAGCTCAGATAATGAGTACAAAAAATTATTTAAAATTGCTGATTCACACCATATATCAATGGATTTAGGATATTATCACTGGCTATCTTACAGAAATATAGGTCAGAAAACGGGAAATACATGATCTATATTACTAATAAATGTACATACATTAATTTGTAAAAATAACCATTTGGAAATGTTGAAAACGGAAACTGAGTCTAACTTCTAATGTTTGCAAAAAGCGAAATTCGTCGCATAAAAGTAATCTGTGATGACCAGCTAACTGATTTTCGCAAAATGTCTTACTCTTAGGTACTTAATGAAAGACTTAACTAAAACCCCTATCTCTCCAGATACACCACAGTATAAAGTATAGGAAACGTTTTAGCCTCGGCCAATAGAGGCAACTTAAGACAATGATATTTTGTACTTAACCAATATGTGATGGGGAAAGGTGAAATAAGATCAATGTCACAAATAATAACTAAGCTTAACACGTATTGAAAACTACCACGCATAATCCTTGGACGTGTTGTTGAGTTTCGCTTTATATTATGACTATCAGGACATTTAGACGACTGGCATCTTAAATGTTAATAACGTCAGAGAGATGATATTAAGCATGGAAAGCGAAAGAAATCTAAAGAAATTACATGGGTAAAGTTAATAGTAAAAATAAAAAGATAATAGTCCACTACTAAAATTGGTTCCTGATAACATGATATTGATGCTTGAAGTACATGGACTTGAGGAGTATAAAATTTTCTTTGTGTATTTCAACAGCTTGGAAACGCTAAAGGAGTCAGTCATCAACAAGACAAATAGTAAAGGAGTCGAAATAGTCGTGCAATCAGTAGTAAATGAATTTGCGCACTAAATTATCAGCTTTGAAATAGACGGAATCTTTTCAAGTTATACTTCTATACTGCCTAGACAAGTCACATAGTAATATTTGACATCTATAATACAACAAGTTGGCTATATGAATTAATCCAACTTTCTACTTGCTTTGACATATATGATAACATCACAAGTTCCTAAGCTGGACAAACCCAAAGACTCCATCTATCCCACTAAATGTACTATAGTGACGAAGGTTGTAGTCCGAGATTGAAGGAATCCTTTTATATAGGTTTGTCGAGTAAATTCTTAAAATGGGGTCTATTAAAGCTCCGCATGCAGCGAAACCACTTGTCAACAGGAATTGCTTGACCAGGGAATTAAAACCGATCAAAAAACACATTTTTATATGCAGGGTTTTGAAGCAGAATCCAAGTTGTAGGTAACCAGGTGGAATCATAATACATATCACTTATGACACAGAAGCAAGGAAACTCAGCTTAAAGATCGCAATTGAAGACTTTATATTTCTTACCAGGATAAAATTCATCTTGTTTTGATATCTTGACCTTTGTATTAGTATCCTTTTGAATCCGGCCGATGGCCTCGCCAGACTTCCCAATGACTGCTCCAGCAGCAATTGATGGAACCAAGATTTTCAGCTGGACGTTATCCTCTTTAATATGAAACATAGTTTTTACCGATCATAAACATGAATTGCCAATATAGAAAACAAGTTTGAAAAACTTACCACAGTTTGGACGTTTCGGACTGGTATCTGGGTCCATATCTTTCTCCCGGGGTCTTTTCCTGGAATCGCTGCTGTCATCAGAGCTTGAGTGACTTCCTGACATTCTGTTAACAACAACTTCTAATAGTAGTGCAAAGTAAATGCTTAATCTCTTGACATCACGTAAGATTAATTTTAGGGGCTGTAACGTCTGACTTGAAGCCAGCTCCAACAGAAGAGTGCCTTCAATTTTCGCATGTGAAAAACATGCGACGAGATAACAAAATATAAACTGTAAAAAAAGATTGTCTGAACTTTGACTTTCAGTCCACGGAGTACAATAAAAACATCCACACAGGGTCTCCTGTAGGCCAGATGATAGAACCGGAATCCTCTATATATACCATTATCAACTGTCTTTTCCAAAATTATACGTTCGGTGCAATATGGAATTTTCCGAACACAATGTTTCAAAAGGTTTCTCTTAAAAGATCACAAAAAATCGATAACTGCATATATAAGTAAACGCACTATTTAAAAAGAACAGTGGTATTTTTCCTCACTGAGTTAATTTTGTTGCTTTGATGGCTTATCACGCATGAAGACTACTGTTTTGGCTTTAATTGAATTTGTTTAAGGTAAATTAGTCGTCGAGAGTATCGTTTTTTCGTAAGTAATTTTCCATCTGTACTTGAATATATTGGCTCTTCCTTTACTTGTTGCGTAAGCGTAATCGAGGTGCATCAAATGGTACTCGATCTGTCGATACACAAATCTATGTGAAGTTACACCAAAAAGGCTCTGAGTCCGTTGGTTCGCATGGACTTCGCATCGACTTCAGAGATGTCTGTTAGGGATGAAAGCTCAAGCTAGGAAAATTCTTCTGTCCCCTGCCCTCCAAATGTCAACAGGCCGAAATCCCCTATAAAACCTAGCAGCAAGGCTGGGTTTGTTTCTAGCAGGGAAAACAACAGCCTGACCACCTACGTCATCAACAATCGTCTAGCATCCCACAGTTTTTGTAACGCAACTGTGACTGCTATTGCAATGTAATTTGACAAATGGGTACGGATCACGAATAAGAACCGACCTAATGTTGAGGAAATGCCGGCCTCCCGGACAGTAGTTGAGGGCTTGAAGGCTGACCGTAGTGACAGGTCAGTTGAAGGGTCAGAACAGCAAACTCGCTTTGAGCGATCGGTTGATAACAGATTTATTTAACCAGCTGATGATGTCACAGATATTCAGTGTTTGACAACGCTTCTACCAGTGACATTTTCTAATGTATTTCGTTCCCACCCAGAGAAATCAAAAGACAGAGTCGAGGAGATCGGAAGAGTATATTTGGCGATGACCAATATATCGGAATTCTCTGATCTAATCTGGCTAGCGATTGCGGTTGATGTTGAGCACGGCGTTACCACACGTGATCTCGTGCGGATGCCTGACCGAGCGCCTTCAGCTAGATGAGTCCACTAAAACATATGGTCAGCATCCAATGTCGAAAACTTACAGAGCTATTTATTTTGGGGATTTATTTACCGCTACAGATCACTCCCCCCCCTAGTGGGGCAGTGACGACCCTAAGACGTGGCCAGCCAGAAGTTTAAACCCAACGAGTTTGTCGTTGGTAAACACTCTTCTGATAGCTTACTAAGTGTAGCAGCGTCTGGTCGTCTTTCCTTACTATATGGGACCGAGGTACAACATAGTAAAAAAAGAAAGTTACAACGAAAATTTCGACTCCTTGTAAACTGCATCCTTCTTTTCCAGCCGTCCTTGAAAAGAAAAAAGAAAATGTAAGTGCATGTCGAAAATACACTCGTATGTGCGTAAAAACACAATGCCGGCGGAAAAAAATGAAAAATAAACTCATGAACACGTAATAGCGTTAAAAAAATTGTTTTTTTTTAATAGAAATAAAAATATATAAGCATATTAAAATTGTTTTTTTTAAAAGAATAATATAAAATGTCGAGAAGTGCCTTACGTGCAATAGTCGTTTAAATGTTCTGGAAATCTCACCCTTCTTCCAGAACGCGTCGTTTTAAGTTTATTTTCGGACACATTCGGAGTATCATCGCTAGTGTTGGTTGTCGGTTGAGGAATTATAAGTGTCGGAGTCGTGTCGTTCGATTGTACCGAAGGAAAATCCACGTAGATAGGATTTCCTTCTAAATACGCGGCTTTTAAGCGATCGATGCTTATGTTATCATTGGTTCCGTTCTTATCGACTATATAGTACTTAGATTCACGTTGAAGAACTTTGAAGGGTCCTTCGTATGCTGGTCGTCGATGCGAGTCTCGACGAACGAAAACTTGTGTACTATATCGTAAGTCAGGTTGAACGAAAACATCAGTTGATTGAGGTCGAGTGGAAGCAGGTTTAACTGAAGCATTGCGTTTATAAGCCTGTTCGTGTAGGAGGTTAGATCCATGTTCATTGAAGAGGATGAAGGATCCACGAATTCTCCTGGAAGTCGAAGTGTCGTTCCATAAACGAGTTGAGACGCAGTGTATCCAATGTCAGCTCTCACTGCATTGCGGATACCTAGTAAGACGAGTGGCAGTGCGTCGGTCCATTGTGAAACGTTTGCAGCTGATAGCGAAGCTTTCAGTTGTCGGTGAAAACGTTCTACCAACCCGTTTGCTTGTGGATGGTAGGCGGTCGTTCGGAAGCGAGTGATTTCTAAAAGTGTGGTCAGACGACGGAAAAGATCGGATTCAAACTGACGTCCGCGGTCTGTAGTGATGGTTGAAGGGCAGCCAAAGTTTGCTACCCATCGTTCGACGAAGGTGCGAGCCACTGTTTCAGCAGTGATGTCCTTGATAGGTACTGCTTCTGGCCATCGAGTGAAACGGTCTACGCAGGTTAAGAGATAAGAGTATCCATTTGAATCTGGTAAAGGTCCTATCAAATCCAGATGAACATGGTCGAAACGAGCATCGGGAGTTTTAAACGAGCCTAAGGGACATTTATTGTGTCTGATAACCTTAGATATTTGGCAGCTTACACAGGAGCGTGCCCACTCCCTCACGTCTTTATTCATTCCAGGCCAGCAAAACCTTTCTGCTATAAGCTTGATGGTTGCACGAACACCTGGATGCGAAAGTTTGTGCAATGTGTTGAAGACATTGCGTCGATAATGTTTCGGCACGATTGGGCGATCCCTACCTGTAGATGTGTCACAAAGTAAGGTTTTCTTACCTGTTCCCATCTGTTTGATGCGTAGTTTAAGTGTTGTGGACGATAACTCGTGCTGAAGATCAGTGTCTCCTTTTTGAAGCTCGGCGAGTTTAAGAAGGTCGATTCCTTGGAAACTGTTTAAGGACGTTATGCGAGATAAAGCGTCCGCAGCTACATTGTTTGCTCCAGAGATGTGTTGAATGTCTGAAGTAAACTGAGAAATGTAGTCCAGTTGTCGAGACTCACGGGGAGAGTACTTGTCAGAAGGAGAGCTTAACGAGAAAGTGAGCGGTTTATGGTCCGCGAAAAGAGTGAATTCACGGCCTTCGATATAGTGTTGAAAATGTCGTACAGCACAATACACAGCTAGGAGTTCCCTACCGAATGTGCTGTACCTAGATTCGGTGTCTAGCAACCTTCTAGAGAAAAATGCCAAGGGTTGCCAGGAGTTGTTAACCCATTGTTGTAAGACCCCTCCGATTGCCGAGTCGGATGCGTCTACTGCGATACTAATGGATGCTTCGGTGTCCTGATGTGCGAGCATTGTTGCTTTAGCAATCAGTTCCTTAAGTGTGGAGAATGATTTTCGTGCGGTGTCGTCCAAATTGATGGATTTCGCATTTCCACGAAGTTGGTCGGTCAGAGGTTTCATAAGTAATGCGCATTTGGGTATGAAACGTCTATAGAAACTTACCAGGCCGTTAAACGTGCGTAATTGCTTCACGGTGGTCGGTTCTGGGTAATCCAGAATGGCCGCCACTTTGGTCCTAAGAGGTCGAATGCCTTGAGCATCGATAGTGTGTCCTAGGAAGTCTAACGAGTCAGTTCCGAATTGGCATTTCTGAACGTTTACAGTTATGCCATGTTTTTGAAGTCGTTCGAAAACAAGATCCAGATGCTTGAGATGTGTTTCTCTCTCCGAACTTGCGATTAGACAGTCGTCAACATACGCGTGTACGAAGTTGAGACCTCGAAAAACGTCGTCTATGAATCTTTGGAATGTTTGAGCAGCATTCCTCAGACCGAAAAGCATTCGCAAAAATTCATAGAGTCCGAAAGGAGTTATGATAGCTGTTTTCGGTATGTCGTCAGTAGCCATAGGGGTTTGGTTATACGCTTTAACCAAGTCGATTTTCGAAAAGATAGTTGTACCTTTCAAGGTAGCTGTCGAATCGTGAATGTGAGGCAACGGGTGACGATCGGGAATGGTTTTCGCGTTCAATCGCCGATAGTCACTAGTTGGACGCCAATCGTTGCTGTCCTTTTTGGGGACCATGTGCAACGGAGATGCATATGGGCTACTTGACGGTCGTATGATTCCTAAGTCCATCATGTGATCGAATTCGTTTTTCGCTAACCTTAGCTTTTCAGGAGCTAGTCGTCGTGCTTTAGAGAATACAGGTGGTCCTGTAGTCGGGATGTGATGTGTAACATTGCTGGTTACACACGGTAGTTTCGGTTGAGTTTGTTGTATCCCAGGGTACTTATCGAGTAGTGAATGATAGAGTGGGTCTATCATATGTTTAACTGTGACTGGGGATACACTACAACCAGTAAAAGAAGTTACGCGAACGGACAAATTAGTGTTTCCGTCTACTAGCCTCCGTTTGCGAGCGTCGATGATCAGATTGTGGTGTTGTAGAAGGTCCATACCAATGATTGGCATAGAAACATCTGCAACAACGAAAATCCAGTGGATGAGTTTGCGTAAACCCACGTTAAGGTAAACGTACCTTTGCCATAGGTAGCGATCGGTTTTCCGTTTGCCGCCTGTAAGTTTAGGGTCGATTCGTGAAGTCGGTCGTTAGGATTTGCTGGGAGAACGCTAACTTCTGCGCCAGTGTCGACGAGGTAGCGAACTCTCGTTGTCACATCTGTGCCGAATAACAGACGGCTTTGTTCGCCGGCTACGGTTGCCGTTAACGCGTGCCGGCTTGGAAGTTTCCCGAATTGCTTTTCGAATCAGTCGGTTTCGTGTTGGGAAAATTGCAGGGTTTTCTGCGATTTCTGGAAAACTTTTCATACTGGTTATGATACCAGCACCAGTCAGGGTTATCTGTCTCTCGTGGTCTAGAGACAGATCGCTTACGAGAATTGCTTCTACGTGGTGTGCGCGATCTCTTACGGTCGGTACGAAGACTAAGATAACGCGTGAGTGTGTGACATAAGTCGTTTATACAATTCTGAGTAGTTTGAGGTTTTTCTTCG